ACTGAGTGTCCTACGACACGTTCGCGATGCGTTGGCTAAAAGCCAAGACCTGCAGAAACAATATGCAGACGAAAAACGAAGAGGCAAAGTGGAAAGCTTTAAGGTCGGGAATCTGGTTTTATTAATTTCAAAAAACCTGTTTACACATGCAGCCCTGCTATCTTCCGGACGCAGCTTCGTCCACGGTTTACTGGGCCGTTTAAGGTTGTGGCCAAACGGGGCCTGGCGTATACGCTGAACCTTCCGAATCGGATGCGCACCCACTTGGTGTTTTACGTGGGCTTGCTCAAGTCGTACCGGGATCCGGCGCAAGTGAAGGGGGAAGCGTTGGCGCCGGAGCGGATCCCATGGGCCCTCGGCCACCCAGAAGTTGAGCCAGCAATTGGTTCTGAGCACGGAGTGCAACAACCTCCATCTCCAATGGAGCCAAGCGCTCCACGGCTAGGAGTCGTTCCTACAGAGCGCGGTAGTCCTCATGGCGAGGCAGCTGGCGTACGACGTGCTTTAAATCGTCAAGAGCGTCCGCACAGCGATATCCTTCTTCAGCAGGACGCTCTGCGGAGCTCCGATTACGAAGGATCTTGTCCTCGAGGGCTCTAAGAGCATCACGAGTCATTGGACGGCGGTCGACCCGGTCGTCACCGCCCGCCACCGGCTCTTCTCGATGAGAACGGTGACGTCTTTTATCACGTGGAACGTCTTGTTGGTCGACGTCGTCACCAGGGTCAAACCCAATATCAGGTGAAGTGGCGGGGATATCCCGACTCCGAAATCTCGTGGGAATTTGAGGCGCCAGTTTTGCAAGATTGCCCAATCGCCGTGGACGCTTTTGGTCAGAAGATCAAGACGTCCCGCGTCATCAATCGCCCCGTGCTTCCCGATAATTGTCAGGGCCATGAGCTGGGCTCAAGCAGTGGCCCTGAGCTCTTGCGGTCTAAGACACAGAGCACGCAGGAGCATTAGGGGTTGTTAACCCATACGTCGCATGGCGACAATCCGAAGGAAGTCGACGGCGTGCCTTGAGTTTGGCAAACTCGAAGCGGAGGTGTCACTCCACACGCACGTCCACTTCCTTGTGGCTCAACTGCATGTTATGCAGTGAGGAAAGTTTTCGGTGCCATTGCACCCATCGCTCAAAGAGCGTGCTTTCGTCAGGGGCGAGCACAGGTATTGTCCGCATTGCGGGTACACGAGAACCACCTCGTTGAGCACTTAGACGAGTGCGATAAACGTTTAACGTAATTTCTTGTGGTGCCAAGAAACGAGCTCGAAGAGCTTCCGTTTGGCAAGTTCATCTTCCGTTCTGGTCGGGGGCCCGATGATGTGGACGCGTAACGATCGAGGAACCGCGTCCCTCGCTTCCGAAGCGGGATCCGCAGGGCGGAAGCCATATTCCACACTAGGGTCAATGACCGACCGTGGATGGGCGTGCTTTAGAGCAGCTTTACGAGCAGCTTCAAGCTGCCGCCTTTGTTCCCCGTCGAGGTCATTGGTGATTACACCACGTTTCTCAGTTGTCGAGAAGTAAGGGAACGGACATGGGGATATGGGGGTCCGCAAGGCGCGAGCAGGGATCGTACCACGCTGCTGGTGCAGCTCGCCTTCCTCGTCCTGCCATGCGGAAAAAGAGGTGACAGACTCATAGTCAACCGCATCCTCAACGAGGCCACTCGGCACTGATAGCGTGCGCGAAGCCCGACGTTTGCGCTCATCGAGCCTAGGATATACATCCCCCTATGCCGCGGACGCACTGTCCGACACCGCATCGCGTGCGGGGGGCAAAGTTGGGCTCTGCCCGTGCTCGCTGTAAGAACCAGCGAGACTTGGTGATTTTCGTGTCGTGGACACAGGGCTCATTGATCAAGAAAGTTGTTAAATTCCAACAAATTGAGTTGCAGTGTCTAACGAACACGCGAGTCTGTTGAGGCAAAGATCAATTGGAAGTGAAAATGTTCTTAATCTTAATGGGGGAGGGTGTAACGGGGTTACACGAACCCTGTAACAGGGGTTTGTGTGTCACACGAGATGTGAATGGTGTGACCACACCCATACTAGAATACGGTACGGGGCTAGGTAGCCAGTAATTATGCATTTATTTAGATTTTAATGTAAATATTTAGTATATTTAGGAAAATCTAAACTTTTAAAATTAGGATTGATAAATAAAAATCGGTTTGGAATCCAGACCGAAGAGTCGCTTAGCCTTGGGAAGGCAACAATTACTCTTGGGGTAAGCGGATTGCGATCCGCTAACTCATACTTGGTTCTTGTAAAGAACGAAAATCCGGTGACCTAAAGTACGCTTCCTTAAGCGTTTTGCTACGGTAGTCTCGCTGCAACACCTACCTGGTGTTATCCATTCAGTCGCTTCTTCAGCTTGGACACGATCTTTTTCTAAATCGTTAATTCTTGCCTTTAAATCTTGTTGTCGTCAAAACCTATGACTTACAAGACATGTACATAGAGTTGCATATGCTCCTTTATTTCTGCCATCACGTTTGAGTTTGGAATGTCACCATGCCTCGCCGGTACATTCCATCGTATCGAGAACATTAAACAAAAGTTTTAAGTCATTGACTGTGTAATAGCAGCAGAAAATCAATGCCATATAAGCGTTTGTTTTCGCATGCCACTAATTTTGCCTTGAATTCGCTTAATCGTGTCGCCTGTGCCGATCTTAGTCTTGAATAACCAATTCGTATGAAGTGTTTTCTTCTCTTCGTGGCTTCTTTTTGGTTGCTTTGTCACTACTTACAATCCATTTTCCTTCGCTGTAGCGGCAATACAGATACCATCCATTAGCTATACTCGACTTGGACGAACTTGTTTAGAGAACATATTAATAATGTATGTGAGGTATGTAAATGTTTCTTTTCATCAATATTTTTTTAATTGAGCTATTCGTCTCTTTCCATCGATGATATTTTGGTCCAATCGCATATCTGATCGTGACCAAACGGTCATTCAAGAAATCTTGTAAAAGACTGAAATGGAGGATGTTCCACGTATTTTAGCCCACGTACGTGCATGTAGCATGACGCAGAAAAAAACGGACTCACTTTTTAAAGTCCCTGTATGTATAAATTGAGATGTCTTACATCAGTATTATTTGTGTATGGTAGAGTCTTCCGTCACTTGCGGTGATACTTATGGGCTATTGGATGGGACGTGGACTGACCGCCTATGTCGTGAAAGACGATGTGGTAATTGCGCACGATATATCCGGATTTTCATTGAGTTATGGGGACGCGCGGGTGTTTAATTGGCACCCGCTGCTTATGAGCCTCGGTTTCGTCTTCTGCTCAATGCAAGCAGCACTGGCATATATCTCCCTACCATTCAATCACGCAATGAACAAGGTGAGAAACAGAAGGATAAATTATTTGGATGTCAGGCTCGGTGATATTAATCATGCTAATGTGTGTATCATCCAGCGTATCCATCTGTCGCTTCACGCACTAGGATTCTTAAGTGCAGTACTCGGTGCTGTGGCGGTGTTTCGCTTTCACAATGAGCATGGCATCACTAATCTTTACAGTTTACACAGCTGGATGGGGCTCGGAGTCTTAATTTTGTTTTTCCTGCACGTACGTTGAGAACATTTACTGGCTGAAAGCAAATTTGCTAACAGTTTCTGCGTTATTGGTGTATCAGTGGCTGGGTAGTTTTGGTGTGTTCTTTTATCCGGGTGCGGAGAAAAGCGTTCGCAAGTTGATAGCTCCGTATCACATTGCAATCGGCCTGTCAATTCTTGGACTTGTTGTCGCAACAGTTGAGGCAGGAATCATGGAGAAGCTTACATTTAATGGCAGCTGCAATGTAAATGGCGAATTATATGGTAAGAAAGTGGAGAAATTCATGGCATCGGATTGCGTTTTGGGCAATGTTATCGGACTATTAGTGGCATTAAGCTCACTTGCACTTGTCATCACGATCTGGCTTTCGAAGCACGAATATTCAACGACGCAATTGAGGGACGAGGCGGCTCCATTGCTCGGCAGCTCGGGAGACGAAAAAACGGAGATATCCGTTTGAAGTAATGCAAAAGCGCAAAGTAGGGGTGTGCACTTCAAGACTTAAGAAAATGTTACTCAGAATTTACGGCGCGCAGATCGAACGTTGAGTGTGTAATGCATCGAGCAAAAGATTGAAGATGCATTGTTGTTTGGTTAGGACAAAGAGGAGGGGTCCAGTACTTAATTCGTTAAACCATGTTTGAGTATCAAAATACATCAAACTATATCTCCTCCTTGTTCGACAGTAAGAATCAGCAAATACATTAAAGCTACTTTTCAGTTTATAATTCGTCGCCGATCAGCAATTCGACTGTACGACTGTACGAATCGCCGACTGACAATTTCGTCTGTAACATGTCTAGGGATGTATGTAAACATGCTGGTTGGAATTTTTGAGGTGCTTATGTAGCACTTTCAATGGACCTAAAGGTAATTATAGAAACGGGTTGATGATTATGCTCTCGAATCGTTGCTCAGTGCGTCTCGAGACTTTAAGATCATTTTACTTAGCGATGTCTATATCCAGATTTTTAGTAATCGTGAAAGAACCAAGCGCAATTCTTGCCAGGATTCAGGTTCAATTATATCACGGTCTAATTCAGAATCTCTTCTTCTTTCGTCTTTTTTCGGAGCTTGTGCGGTGTAAGTGCTTTCTAAAATGTTTTGAATAGTCTGGCGTGCATCGGAAGCAAAATTACCGGCATTATTATTGCAAGATGGCTCGTGATTCCTGGACAAAAGCAAATTGTAAAGGACTTTACTCGCGATCAGCGTCATATCAATGTCATGTAGGTTAGCAGATTCAATAATTTCCACTAACAAGCTTCGAATGTCAACACAATCGTTGTCAATAAGGGGACGAATAGCCAGTAATTTCTCACGCGTAGAGATATCAAGAGCTGCATTCATCAAAACGCCGCACACCGTGCATACAACTTCGCGGCTGCTGTGGTCCAATAAAACAACAAGACATTCAAGCACTTTATGTTGATCCATATATGGCAACACATCTTGAAATCGTGACAAATTTCCAAAAGCTCTAGCTGCTTCCACAACAGCTTCCACATTTCTGCTCAAAAGAATTTGAGACAAAAGCTGTACAATGGTAATGCGATTGCTTTCGATAAAATTATACTTGAATGAGCAATCAGTGGAGGATGTTTCGCTACTTTGCCTTGTAGTATAATACGATACATTAGTGATGCAACTTACAGTATTCAGCATAAGCTCCTCGTGTCCCGCTTGATGAGAGACTTTCAAAATATCCAGTAAGATTTCGATTGAATCCTGACCATTAAGCTCTGTAGCAACATTTACATTAATGGCTAAATTTGCAAGCACACGTACAAGCTTGACAAGAACTTCCATTGCCTGTTTTGCTTGTCCGTCACAACGACAGTCTTCTGGTTGTGTAGACTTCATTGTGTTTTCGTCATTCAGATAATGCCTAGCATAAGTCTGCAAAACTATTAAAATGTTCGTAATCCCATTCTTCGTGCCAATCAAACTTCGATTTTGGTCGTTGCCAGCACATAAATTACCGAGAATGAAAAAAACGCGAACAAAAAGTAATTCTTGAAATCGCGTAAAGGTACAATGTTCATTTGCAAGTTTAATCCATGTATTGTAATGAGGATCAATTAAAGTCATAATGTTTTGGACATTCATTAAGTCTTGATTGATTTGAGCTCGTGGTAGTTCGTGTAGTGTTAATTTACCCAAAATTCGGGAGATATTGACCATTAACTCTGGATGTGGTATGTATACCGGTATTATTCTGCATAATCGTAAAGGAATATGACTTTCAAGAAACTGCTTTTGATATGTTCTGACGACAGACAAATTGCGTAAAATTCCAGTAATTTGAACCAATAATTGCGCCACTTCTTTCTTTTCAGCTTCTTCATCAGTTCGCCATAATAAAGTCTCACTTAACGTTGCAATTGCACGATTAGTAGCCAGCAAATGAACCATCTTATCTTGAGCATCAGAAATGTTTTTGATTGTTCCAGTCATGTATATAAGTAACTTCAAAGGAAATTTTTGATGTTTTGTTGATGATATGATTACATCATTGGTATTTGTTGAGTTTTTTTCATCAGCATGATTGTTGCTTGTGTTAGAAATAGCGGAGAGAATGGCCTCCACATAGCGAACATTGCAGAAGCAATTATCGTTTTTGCTATCCCTGCTAAACCCAAAAAGCATCTTACTCAATTTTAAAATACGTGCGCTGTTGGAAAACTTGTCATCGTCACTTGGTATAATACCATACAAAGCCAAAAGAGAAGGTGCGAGCTCGAGTAAACATGTTGCATTGATCTCCCACTGATCGAGCAATACAGTACAAAGCTTGTTAAAGAGCTTTATGTGTAACTTCACATCTGATGCGTCTTTTACAGTTTTAATACCAACTTGTAAGAAAAAACTGAGATGCAAAAAGTTCTCCAATAATTCACGCAAACGCCCAATGGCAGCAACAAATTCTCGTGAACTTGTTAAGCCATGAATATCTTTAATGCAGTGCTCGATTTCATCATAAGACGTTTGCAATTCATCCTAAGAGGCATAACCAAATTTTAAGTGGTTGAGAAATTATCATATGACATAACAAATATGAAGTTACATTCGATGGTAGGCTAAGAGACGCTTCCAGATCACGTTCTACCTCTCTCATCGCTATACCAGTTGCATCATCTTCAGCGTTATCATTCAAAAGAATCGGGGCATGTGCCAACTTCAGACTACCGAAAGTGCGTTTTTGATTAGGTTGAGATGTTTCCGAAGATTGAGTACTGTGTATTTCAGAAAATGACTCCCTTAACTTGAAAATTGAAGGTGGCAACATTTGTTGCGGTTCTAGCAATGCATTCGATAAGCTTAGGTGTGATTCGGGACGATTGTCGTCGCTGTGAAAAAGCGAACGGCTAGAGGTGTGTGGGGTGATTGGACGTGATGGATTATTAAGCGAAGCTCGAGCCTAAATATCTTAGAAGATAAGAAATAAAAGTCTTTCTTTGCTACATGTCAACGATAACTCGTACCTGAAACAAAACATGAGAAATTCCACCTCGAGCGATGCATGCGTCCATTGCGAAAATTTGGCTGGAAAGTTTTATTGTAGTCCTTTCAGTTTGTCGTTTCGCTGTGCATAATTAATTTATACATGTGACAATAATAAATTAATATAATGAAATGATTTCAAAAAAAATCAAAGTGACTATTACATCATTTATCACAATAATTTTAATCCATGATAGACTTAGATGCCCAGCAGCGGCGGCAAGAAGCATACGCGCAACAAGCGCTCAAACTATACAATCCGGACTTTTCACTAACACCAGAAGTATTAGAAATCATGCGTGCCTTTTTCTCGGATCTTGGACCGGATATGAGAGGCACAATTTCCCGTGGGGCATTGGCGGACGAGATTGTGCGTTTAGACCCAAGCGCAGAAACAATTCGTCGTATCGAAAGTGATATGACAGGAAGAGATGAGAGACTTGATTTTGCTGCATTTTGTGATTGTGTCATGCATTGGAAAGTCCAGAGTCCCCAAGCAGTACAAACGGTGTACACGTTGTGGGCTGCACAGATTGCAGCGCTTGATTCTGACATGAGCGATAATTTATTTTACGACCTCAATATGAAGGAGCCACATCCAGATGAGACGCTTGATATTATTCAACTACTACAGCAACGTCAAAGATTACATGGAGTTGGTCGTAAGGTCATGTATGAGGACTATGAGGCGTCAATTGCCGGATACTGGCTCACATCCGACGAAGCCACTAAGAATAGCGAGCCAATGATTGCAACGCGAAAGTTTGTAGATCCAGCTGATACATCTGAAAGATTAGGGTCCATTATGACGATTTCGAAGTCTTTCATTGCTGGCGGCATGGCGGGCATTATCGCCAAATCGACGTTAGCTCCACTGGACCGAATTAAGATTCTATTTCAAGTAAACGATCACCACAAGTTTAGTTTTCAAAATGCTGCCAGAATGACGAGAGATATCTATGTGCACGATGGATTTCATGCTTTGTTTCGGGGAAATATGCTTAATATTATCAGGGTAGTCCCGTATGCGGGACTACAACATTCAGGTTTTGATTTTTTTAGGCACAAATTTCATGCATACAATATAACTAAAGCGGAGAGAGAGGGAAGTGCTGAAGTACCTAAGCTAAGTAATTTACAGCTGGTAGCAGCGGGTTCGCTGGCTGGTGGGCTGTCATTAGTAGTGGCTTACCCACTGGACATTGTTCGGGCGAGATATATGGTACAAATGGGAAAGCAAAGATATACAAGTATCTTTGAAGCTGTCATCTCGATGTATAAGGTAGAAGGGATGCGCTCGTTTTCGCGAGGACTTTTGCCTTCCTTGTTAGGAACATTGCCGTACACGGGTATTGGATTCTCATTAAATGAGCGTTTCAAGATATGGGTGTGTACTATAGAAAGTTTTAGCCGTATGTGACTTATGAATTGAGTTGAGTTTGTTGATTGGGGATGTAGACATTGAATTTGCAGCGTCGAAGACTGGAGCAAAAGAATGGACCAGGGTTCGAACCGAGTCTTAATCCGGTTACCAAATTTATGTGCTCGTATTTTGCAGCTTGCGTCGCTCAAACTGGTACGATCATTTCATACTCTAAATGTTTTCACACTTTAATGATGATCTCTATGGAATTGAAAGGCACATACCCGATGGACACCATTAGAAGGCGTATTCAAACTGATGGCTACGTTTCCGGATCTGAGGCAAAACTGCAATATTCGGGTATAATCGCCACTGCTCGAATCATTTTGGCACGAGAAGGTTGGCGGGGGTTTTTCAAAGGAGTGTCAGTGAATTGGTTGCGTGTACGTGATTTCTGCTTAAAGTTGCATGCGTTTAAAGTGAGTTTTCTAACGAGACTGTGGAATTTAATTCAGAGCCCTGTATCTACTGGCATCAGTCTGACTGCATACGATATTTTTAAAGAAGTTCTGGGCGTCGCCAAGGTCGAATAATGACTGCAAATTTGAAAAACTTAGAGCCCCAAAACTATTCAGTTTTGTAAGTATAGACTTTTACGCAAATTTACTTTAAAAATCTACTGTGGTCTAATTTATTCATCAGTAGTTGCCCGCCGCTCGAAGACGAAAGCTTTATACATATAAGTGCAAGCTGTTAGAAATCAAAATGAGCGCTGAAAATATGCTCATAGAGCGCTCTCTGACATCTCAGGTCATCCATCACCCTTTGGGAGTACCACCTGTGTCTGTAACAGCAGTGATCGGATGAGAGGGTCGCACTTTTAGTATGTACGCTGGCGAGATTGCCGAATCGTATCGTACTCAGCTTGCACACTCGGTGAATGATGAGATCACATACTCTTCCTCATCTTACAGCATTACAAGCCAAGTTAAGTGAAAAAACGTCAAACTTGTTTGATACTTAATTGAAGCTTGACGCCGCTTGCTAATTAATTCAACTGGTGTGCTGGCATAACTATTTATCCATTCTCGAACTCGAAAGCTTACTTTCTACTCGATGCGCCAAATCATGAATAGTAACGGCGCTTTTGCCGAACTTTGATTTCCAACTCCCATGATTTGAGGGTATCCCTTCCACTACAACTATAAACGAACTAACGGATTTTTACGAATAGTGATCGATCTTTTATTTATTAGTGGCCTCAAGAAATCGATCACTTTTGACAGGAGGTCTACAATTCGTAGAGGGCTACTT